CTAATATATATCTGACACTGAGTTATACCAATATATAACTGACACTGAGTTATACTAATATATATCTGACACTGAGTTATACTAATATATACCTGACACTGAGTTATACTAATATATATCTGACAGTCAGTCGACCTCATGTTTGGAAATATTTCTAATTTTGCACCTCAAAAACAAAAAAATACTTTTACACAAAACTTTTACACAAACAAAAAACACAAAAAAGTCTGAATCCAAACAGCTGACGTGTCTTTTCATGGTGAAGCTAAAATAATAAAAGCATGAATATTGGCTGGTGTTGACACCATAGATTTAATATTATCAGTTTGATTGATGGTAAAGATCTACAATATGCTGCTGATAGGATGAACTGATCATGACATCTAACACACATTTCTTTCTTCCTGTTTCACAGAGATATATAACATTACATGATTACGAGGTAACATTTACGTTGTATGCTCACTGCATCTGTTTCTACTGTTGTCGTTAGCCATGCTAATCTGTGGTTAATGAGGTGCAGTAATATTTGATTCTTTAAACAGCTGTTAAAACATGATTTTCATAATCTGATGATTATTTTGTCTATTTTTAGTTTCACACTTTGCTTCATCAATAAACCTGGAAAAACCACATCCAGAGTCTTGATTGGAAAGAGTTCAGCAACTCACAGCTCACTGCACGCATGTATGTGTGTGTGTGTGTGTGTGTGTGTGTGTTAATGTGTGTGTTATTGTGTTAATGTGTGTGTATGTGTGTGTGTTTATGTGTGTGTTTATGTGTGTGTGTTAATGTGTTCCATTCCCCTGTCAGGAGTTATTTTCCAACCGCCATTGTTATTTCTTCTTCGTGTCTCACTAGAGCTACGTATTGGGTAGTGACAGCAACACTGCCCCCACGGTTCCCGGTGGTACTGCTCCTTTTGGCCCGTATCCGTAAGCTTTATGGAAACGTGCAGAAATACGGACGAAATGAACGCGGATATGGACAGAAGGCTCCTTCCGTATTCCGGATCCGTATTTAACGTTGAGCATAAATGGGCCTTAAGGCCGTTGCTATGGCGTCCCTAGCAACGAAGCAGCAGACCAGCGGTGATACCTCAAGAAATAAACACTGCAGAATTTTGCTGATTGACCAATCAGAATCAAGTATTTAAGAGTGCCATGTTCTAATGTGTTTGTGTGTGTGTTTATGTGTGTGTTAATGTGTTTATGTGTGTGTGTATTAATGTGTTAATGTGTGTGTATTTATGTGTGTGTTTACCTGCGCGGGGTCGACATCATTCAGCATGACGATGGATGTACAGTGGTAGTCGAGGACCAGACGCCAGAAGTCCTTTACCGTGTTGGGCAAAGGATGCTGGGTAACGATGAACGCAGATGGCTGCTTGTAGCTCTGCAACAATTAACACACACAGCAGGAAGTGACATCACACAGGTGAATAAACAACATCAACTTTCACTTTCACATTGTTTTTTTCTCTGAGCTCTGACCTGTCACACACACACACACACACACACACACACACACACAACAACAGAGTTGTTTACTGGGATGTTCGGGACAGTACTGTGGTTTGTGTGTGTGTCTCACTCATTGACTCCATGGCAACATTATACTTCCTGTTTACATGCCCTGAAGCATCATGGGTGCTGTAGTTACCCCCAAATAAATGAAAATAACAGGAGTGACAACTTTTTAATGTTTCAATGTCATGTCATCACTGAAGCTGAGAATAAAACTCTGAAATCAAAACAACGATGTCATCTGCTCAGAAGATCATGTGACACGACTAACAGTTTCAGAACAGCCACTAAATGGCCCAGGCGGCGTGACGTACGTCCATCAGTGCAGCGTTGATGTAGTTGGAGCTCTCCCCGTCGATGGTGATGAGAAACGGCAGGCAGCGGTCCGGGGGCAGCACGTCCATGCAGCGGTTCTTCTCGTGGTTTCGAGGCAACAGAGCAATACTGCAGTCCTCCACCCGCAGCGTGGGCGTCACCATGTTCAGAGTCTGAGCACACACACACACACACACACACACACACACACACACCAATATCATCACTAAGAAAGATCAATATCATCACCTATAAAGTTTATTATCATCACCAATAAGGATCAATAACATCACCAATAAGGATCAATATCATCACCAATAAGGATCAATATCATCACCAACGAGGATCAATATCATCACCAATAAGGATCAATATCATTACCAGTGAGGATCAATATCATCACCAATAAGGATCAATATCATCACCAATAAGGATCAATATCATCACCAACGAGGATCAATATCATCACCAATAAGGATCAATATCATTACCAGTGAGGATCAATATCATCACCAATAAGGATCAATATCATCACCAATAAGGATCAATATCATCACCAACGAGGATCAATATCATCACCAATAAGGATCAATATCATTACCAGTGAGGATCAATATCATCACCAATAAGGATCAATATCATCACCAATAAGGATCAATATCATCACCAACGAGGATCAATATCATCACCAATAAGGATCAATATCATTACCAGTGAGGATCAATATCATCACCAATAAGGATCAATATCATCACCAATAAGGATCAATATCATTACCAATGAGGATCAATATCATCACCAATAAGGATCAATATCATCACCA